TTTTTTTTTTTAAGATATAGTCACAGTCTTACTATGTCGCCCTCAGTGGAGTGCCATGGCGTCACAGCTCATAGCAACCTCAAACTCTTGAGCTTAAGCACTTTTCTTGGCCTCAGGCACCTGAGTAGCTGGGACTACAGGTGGCCACTACAATGCCTGGCTATTTTTGATTGCATTTGTCATTGTTGTTTTAGCAGGCCCTGGCTGGGCGTGAACCTGCCAGCCTCGGTAATATGTGGCTGGCGCCCTACTCACTGAGCTATGGCACCAAGCCTAAGGATAAGACTTTACCAAGAAACTTAACTATATTGAAAAAAATGTTATAACATAAAATGGCCTATATTTTTGTCTTGGCATTTGATGTATCGAAGTTTTCATATTTTTTAAGGCTTTGGTCATTTCTAATAACTTTTGAATGTAAGAATATGCTTTAAACATTATTTTTCTTGTTTTTCAGTACTATTTGATAATAAAAGTCTCACTACTGAATGCCACCTTGTTGATTCAGTAAGTTCCTTTATATTCTAGATTTGTTTTATAAAATGAATATTACTTTTCTATTTGTGTATAGTTCTAAAATTTACATCTTGTTATTTTGTTTACTACAAAATCTAGTTGTTACTCATTTTTCAAAAAATGGAGAAAACTTTTCCATGTTTATGTATTTTAAAATATAGTATGTTTTAGAATTAATCACTGAAGACTTAGCTCCCTATATAACTTACATATCAAATTTTTTATGAAAAATTGGTTGGATACTTAAATATCTTGTATGTGGCTAGGGTTATACTAGGTGTTTCTAGTGATGCAACAATAAAATAAGGTAAAATGTCTGCCTTTCTGAAGCACATAGTTGGAGAGATAACGTCTACCCCAACTTCAGTCATTGTTGGTTATTCTCACTCTAAATTCTTTTAGATTACTGTATTTGTGTTCTGCTATTTTATATAGAGGCTCCTCAGCCTCTATTTTTGATGACCTCTTGCCTCTAAATCTACTTCAAACATTAGCCCTTCTGTGAGGTCTTCCTGTAAAAGCTCTCATCTCTCCAGTTGTTAATCCAGTGGGAGGGATGTATATGTTTAATCTCTTATTAAGAGTATAACATGGCTCGGCACCTATAGCTCAACCAGCTAAGGCACCAGCCACGTACACCTAAGGTGGCGGGTTCGAATCCCCAGCCCGGATCTGCCAAACAACAATGACG